GAGTCAATTGGATGAGATGGCCTCCAAAACACCTTCTGGCTTGAGATCTAGGGTCCTATCTAAGATCCATAAGTTATAGACGAGTGAACTTGGCCTCCATTCGGGACCGAGTTCCAGAACAGATTAGAATGTAAATTCTTTTAGAGCAGGAACTGCTGGATTCTCTGTATTTATATCCCCAACACTTAGTACAGCGTTTGGCTCCCAACAGGAGCTTAATAAATACTCATTAATTGACTAAAGTCATGCTACATCAACCTCATTTCCATTTTTGACCAGGTTACTGGAAACATAGGTTAGAGGAATACTATAGACCTGTGATTCTCAAAGTGTGGTTGGGGGACCTCATGGGTCTCTGAGAGCCTTTCAGGGGATCCATGAGGTCAAAACTACTTTCATAATAATACTTAGATGTTTTCATTTCTAAATGGTAAATCCTGATAGCTAAGTCACAAAAACAAACGCTCTATGGGGAGTCTAGAAATGTTTATAAAGGGTCCTGAGACCAAAGCATTTGAGAATCACTGTCTTCGACCTAGAATAGTACATCAGGGCCAGTAAGAAATTTGACCAATCTCTACTAATGTCTTACTGAACAAGACTAAGAGATGAGAGAGCTCAAGAGTTCCAAGGACCTCTAACTGTACTGATTGGCTAACTGGACTCAAGCAATATAACTGATTCATGGCAAGGTGGGAAGGTGGTCTCTGGTGGCCTCTGACCCTTACCCATTCCTGCTCAACATTTCTGTCTGTGATTAGGCTGGAGTCATCAGCGGCACACTTATCAAACCTGCAGAAGACAGGAACCTGGGAGAGACCGCTAAAGTGCTCAGCCACAGAAGCAAGATCCCCAAAGGTCAAATGGGGCCAACTCTAACAAGGCAAGACGTAAAGCTGTGCGTTCAGGTCAGGGAAAAGGGAAGGAGGAAGTGGAGGCCAGGGGAGGTTTGCTTAGGCAACAGCTTTTGTGTCAAAGAGTTAGCAGGGTTTAGCTCATTACCAGCTCGACAGGACCTGCGAGCAAGGGGAAGAGAGATTAGGCTTATTGTATGCCTCTCCAAGGGTAAAAATGAGAGCCAAAGATGAGAAGTTACAGCAAAGATGGCGGGCCAGGAATACTCTAGAGAAGGGAACCAAGGGGTGCAAAAATAATACTCCCATGATCTCAGCATGTGGATGTTCCCTTCAGTGAGGCAGATTGCCACCCCTTCTTGCTTGCCCGACTTGGGTGACCCTTGCCCATTTCCCCTCCCCCATCCAAGGAAGGAGTGCTGAGCTGGAAGCCTTGACCTTTAAGTCATGGGACTCTCATTGGAATCCCAACTGCACCACCTGTGTGACTTCAGATAAATTCCTTGATCTCTCTGAGCCTTAAGGTCCTCCAAGGGGAGTGGGTTGCTCTCTGATATCAGAGCCTTGAGCCTAATTCCCTCTGGTTGTGATGGTGTGGGGCAAGGACTGTGAGAACATGCAGGCCGTCCTTCCCTCCATGTGACCATCCCAGCTCCTTTTGCAATTGCCCATTCCTCTAATGACAGATTATGCCTCACAATCAGATGGATGACCTACAGACCTCATCCATCACACTGCCAGCCTGTCCCCAAGGTCTTGGGTGCACAACATGAATATGGACAGACGTGTGCATAGAGTTATGAGACCAGCACGGCCAAGTTCAGGAACCAGCCCCAGAGTGAAACAAGCAGTGAGGGGGACCACAGCAAAGGCTGGGTTTTTTTAATACCAATATTCTGCTAGTGGTATTGGATGGCTGTGAGCCACAGAGCACAGAAGGCTCTGAGTTAGATAAAACATTTATTTAGCACCTACTGCATACCACACATGGTGCTAAACACTGGAGATACAAGTCTAAGCAAACAAATAGTCCCTGTCCTTGAGGACACTCTGATAGGGGGAAACCTCCCCTAAAGGGGAGCTGGAAAGGGGGATGGGTGCTAGCCACATAGCAGCATGGTATGGGGATGGCTAGGAAGGGCCCTGGAGACCTGACTCTCAGCAAGATAAAGGGATGGTTCCCCTGTGGGGACCCAGGGGCAGAGCCCAAGGTTGTGCTGGTGGAGAGAGAAAGCCAGAGGGTAGATGACATGGGAACGGTGGTCACCCAGAGGGCACCAGAGATGCATGTTGGATGGGAGCACGCCACACCATCTAACAAATAAGGGACTAAGAAACATTTGTTAAGGACTTACTATGTGTCAGTGGAGGTGGGAAGCATGACTACCGGACAGGCCATGAGCTCCAAGTGTTCATGGCAGGCCCCAGATTCCCTTTGGAGAGTTTATGGGACGACGTGGAAGACAGCGGCACAAGAAGCGAGGCATAGGTAGCTTGTGATCTCCACTGAAGGTAATGCCCATACTGATGAGACCCAGAGCCATGGGAGCATGGGAAGGAAGTGAGTAAGACTTCAAGCATTCCCACGGGGCAGACAGAGCTTCTGCCACTGGAAGCGGTTCAGGAAGAGGCCATCAAGCCAAGGAGAGGCATCGCAATGACGCAAGGCAGTCACGAAGGAAGGGGCTGGACTGGATGAACCCAAGGGCTCGCCCTCTCTCCAGTGGGGAGCCCCTCCAATCCTGGGGCGCCGGCCCCTCATGCACAGCCTTCCTCCATTGTTCCAGAGGCTGGTTCTCCTACAGATTGGATGCCAAGGATTTGCTGAAATTCTGGAGGCCAGAGAGGCCCCGGCTCACAGCCGCCACCAGGTCAGTCCCAGATAAATGGTCCAAAAGGAACAAAAATGCTTCTTTTGTAAAGAAACCCACGCAGCAAATTCTCATGGAAGCCATGTTTAAACTAAGTGCTATTATGGTATAAGGACAGTTTCTAATTATATAGAGACTTTGAGATGATATATTTATAAATGTCTTTTTAGAAACGTTTCAGAAGTAGGTCACAACAGGCCATCTGCTAGGCATCCCAGTTTCTTCCTGACGTTCTCAACACCCCCAGCACTGTGCTAGGCACTAGGGACATAGGACAAAGAGGAAATGGCCCTTCCCTTAAGGGGCTTACATTCGGGAGGGCCAGGGCTTCCCCGTTGAATGAAAGGGGGCCATCAATCACCTAGGGAGGCACCCAATGTCCCAGGCAAGGAAGCTCACTTGCTGAGGAGGTTTTAAAGAAAGCCGTCCCCAGCACCAAGTGCAAATCACTGGAATGCTTGGAATCAGGGACTAGAGAGATGTGCTGTAGGGTACAGAGTGCTGGACATGGAGGCGGGAAGACCTGGGTTCAAATCCCACTGCAGACAGCTGTGTGACCTCAGTCTCCTCATCTGTAAAATGGGGTCAGACTTAATAACCTCTAAGGCCACTTCCTGCTCTAAATCTATGATCCTATGAAGTCTCTCTGTGCCTCAGTTTCCTCATCTGTGAAAAGAAAAGGTTGGATTTGAAGGACTTTAAGGTCCCTTTTAGCTCGATGTATGACTCTATGATCCTACAAAGTATGAGTTTATTAATAGCACTAATTTTTTCCAGCATCCTTCCCCACCAAACACAAAACAAAACAAAACATTTATTAGATATCTATATACTCCAGACGTGGGGGAGAAAAAGGCAGGGGGTCACAAAAATAGATACAACACTTACCCTGACCTCAAAAGACAAGCATTTATTAAGCAACTACTATGTGCCAGGTACAATTTAATAGTAGGAAAGTGAGAGGGGGAGAAGGGAGATTACCCATCCATCCATCCATCTATCTATTAATCTGTCTCATCTATCTACCCATTATACAATGGAGGCCATGCTAAGTGCAAAGGACAGTTCCCCAGGTCCAGTACTTTGAGAAATCCATGATGAGGATGGTCACTTTGCTTGGGGAAGGAACCAAAGAACACTTCCCAGGGGGAGCTGCCCAGCAGAGGGGTCATTTGGGGCTGCTTCCATGACTGGACTCTTCTTCCAAGATCCTGGTCAGTTGTCACTGCTGTCCTGCCTCAGTTTCCCTTGACTATACAGTTACTTGCATTTATGTCATGTAGAATGTAAGACCCCTGAGGGGAGGAATATTTTTTTCCTCCATATGCCCAGAACTTAGCACAGTACTTGGGCATGTAGTAGGTGCTTAATAAATCCTCCTTGGTTGATTTATGTACATACTATCTGCCCCTAGAGAATGTAATCTCCTTGAGGGCATGGACTTTCTCTTGGTATCCCCAGTACCTAGCACAGAGCCAGGCACGTAGTAGGTATTTTATATGAGTTTGCTAAAATGACCTGAAGGAAGACAGACAGACTGAGATGGGGAAATCCCTTTCCAGGGGGCCAGGATGAGAAAGGCCCAGAGGTGGCAGAGCACAGGAGTCAACCATTCTGGCTAGAATGCAGAACAGGTGAAGGGCAGGAGTGCAGATGAATGTTGGAGACAGATTGCAGGGGCCTTCAATGTCAGGATCAGGAGTTGAAAGTAGAGGGTTGTGAAGGCCAGAAACAGAAATTGATCTTTTATTCAATTAGGTAAAGGCAAAAGCCTGAAAGTTTTGGCAGAGAAGGGTGGTGCAGTGGAAAGAACACTGGACCTGGAGACTAAGGATCCAGGTTCAAATGCTGTTTCCTTCCCCTTGCCCTCTCCAGGCTTCAATTTCATCTACAAAATGAGAGGGGCTGCTGGGTGACGAAGTGGATAAAAGCACTGGCCCTGAAGTCAGGAGGACCTGAGTTCAAATCCGGCCTCAGATACTTATTAGCTATGTGACCCTGAGTAAGTCACTTTACCCCGATTGCTTCCCCCCCAAATAAATGAAAAAGAAAACAAGGAGGCTGAGCTAGATGATCTCTGAACACCTCTTCCAATCTCGATTCAAATCCTGGTTCTGCCAGTTAGGGTCTGGATGACCTTGGGCAACTCCCCTTTCTGTTCCTCACTGTCCCCCCTGTAACATTGGGGATGCACTGGTTTGCCTCCAAGGTCTCTTTCTGCTCGTACAGCAGGCTGAGCAGCTCTGGGGACGCCGTCGCCCTGCCCAGCGCTTACCTCCTGGAGTCTGATCTCTTCGGGCTGGAGGATGTCAAGGACCCCGCTGCTCCTGATCTCCGGGAGGTCCTGCCAGAGGTTGAACCTGGAGTTGGCATTGCTGAGCAGGCAGATCTGGGGCAGAGCCTTCTTCTCGGTGGAGCTGGCGGGCTCCTCCTCGGGTGGGGTCTCCTCGCTGGTGGGCGACTCGTCCACGTCCACGGCCACTTGGACCTCAGCATCCTGCAGCCTCCTGGTCTCGATCTCGTGAAGTGTGGACTTATCACGGTATTCCTGATACAAGAGTCCTAGAAAGAAAGGAGTTCATCACCAGTGAAAAGGAAGAAAGGAGAGAGAACGGAAGAAAAGGATACATGGCGCTGTTTTGAGATGAATATTTTCAAGCGACCGAGTCAATGCTTTATCATCCTCTGGTTAGGAATCAATGGGAAGACTGACCTTTACACCTTCACCTGACACACCAGCTCAGCCACGGTCAGACCCCACAATGGCCATCCATTGCCTGTGGGATAACCTGCCGATTCCTTGGCCTGGCATCGAAGGCCCTCCACAATCCGACACCCACCTCTGTGTCTGGCCTCATTTCACATCACTTCTGGTCACAAATTCCATGCCCAGCCCAGCCCTTCCCTGCATTTCACCCTCCTACAGCTAGGTGAAGGGTGGCTAAGCTAAGTGACTGATTATTATTGCTGTTGAGTCATTTCAGTTGTGTCTGACCCTTTGTGACCCCATTTGGGGTTAATACTGGAGTGGTCTGCCATTTCCTTCTCCAGTGGATCCATTTTGTCAGGCAATCAGAGGTTAAGTGACTTGCCCAGGGTTACACAGCTAGGAAGTTTCTGCGGCTGGACTTGAATTCAGATCTTCCTGACTCCGGGCACAGCGCTCCATCCACTGAGCCACTGGCTGACTGGGCAAGTCACTTTACCTCTGATTGCCTCAGTTTCCTCAACTGTAAAATGCAGATAATAATAGGACCTACCTCACAGGATTACAGTGAGGATTGATGGGGTTGGGATCTGGACCCCAGAAAGGAAAAACCCTGGACTTTCCCATGTGGACAAATCTCTGGCCCTTGGCCACATGGTCCAGGTCTCAAGAGTTCTGTTCACCCCAGCTTACTGGCCACTCCCATCCAGATCTCCTTAGACCCCTCCTCCAGTCACCCCAAACTACTTGGCCACTCCTAGATCCCTCCCACTGTCTTTCTGCATATAAGGTCCATCTTGTCTCTATTAAAATACTGGGTAGCTTACTAATGTTCAGACTCCTTAAGAGTCTGCCTAATATGACTGATGTTCTAATAAACCTTGCCTTTGGCTGAAAGAAGGCTTGGATCGAATTCTTTCGTGTAGGACCCGTATGTTGTGATTTTGGGGTCCCAGCACCCCTGAACCCCTAGACCACATCACCCCCATTCCACTTTCCTCCCAGATCCCATTTTTATCGCCAGCACTTAGCACGGTACTTGACACACAACAGGTGCTTAATAAATATTTGACTGACCAAGGGGCATTGTCAATCTGGCGCTCAGTGCTGGAGATACAGAGACAAAAATGGAACCATCTCTGCCCTCCAAGAGCTGATACTGCATTGGAGCAAAATAAACTAACAGGTTTCTTTAACCTTGAGCAAATGTCCTTTCACCTCAGCCTAAGGCATTCACAAACATCTTGAAAGCTCCTACTTACTATGTGCACTGTGCTATTTGCCCTGCATACAAAGGCTGAAATAAAAAGTCTTTGCCCTCAGGGAGTTCATATCCTTCCTTTAAGAAAAAAGCACTGATGCCTTCCTTTTGACCACATTGTGCTTTCTGGATATACTGCCCTGAAGACTGAACCCTCCCGATCAGAGCAACAAAAAAGTCCCCCCCCCACCCCCCAGGATGGACAGACGAAGGAGAAGCGTACCAGCACATCTGATATGGATCAGCCGTCCTACCCTTGGTGTCAGCCCCCTACCCCCACTCCCCAGAGAATGGAGAGTTGGTGCCCCATCTGCACCCTGGGGCCATTACTGGGTTTTTTGCTTTGTTCTCATTTCTTTTTGCTCATATTCTTGCCATCCTCACATCAGTTGTTTTTGTTATTTTGTCACAGCCCATGACAAGCGGGCCCCCAGATGCCATCTGCAGTCCCCCATCCATCAGCGGGCACCCACTTGGCCTCCACATCTTTGCAGCCTCCATACCGATGACCTAACGTTTGGTCAGTTAGAAAAGAATTCGAATAACGCGCTAGAATACTAATTAGTGTAACATAATTCAAATAATGATGATGATTCCTAGAGAGTACACATTCCATCTTCTGGCTGTGTGACCCGGGCCATATTGCTTCATCTCTCAATCATCTTTCTGCCCGGGGGAACCGTGCAGGGCCCAAAACATCACAAGCGTCCCAGATCATACCCCCTCCTCTGACCCCCCCCCCCAACAAGGCTCTGTAAGGATCCCAGGAGATGGGATTTGGCAAACATAGAAATGCCAACTGTTTATTATATTTATTCTTTCTGAGGGTAAGTAGAGCTCATCATTCTGCTCATTTTTGCACAGGGCTTCTTAACCTGGAGTCCAGGGACTTAAAAAAAATTTAGATCGCTGTATTTCAAAATCATTGGTTTCCTTTGCACTCCTCTGTATTTTATTTTATATGTTTGAAGACATGAGCCTGAGAAGGGGCCACAAAAGGGTCTGGGAAACACAGGAAAAGGTTCCAAATCCTCTAGGCCTTCACATTATACACCCAGCCCCAGGAGGCCAGCCCCTAAGGCCATCCAGCTGTCTTGGCCACCAGCCATTGTCTGGGGAGACAATGTGTGCAGATAGATCACTACAAGCCTCAGTCAGGGCGGTGCTGTGGAAGGAGTTCTAGGTCTGGAGCTGAAAGACCAGGGTTCAAATCCTGACTCTGCCATTTCCTACCAATATGACCTTGCACAAATCATTTGCCTTCTCTGGGGCTCAGTTTCCTCATTTGTAAAATGGGGGAGTTGAATTAGCTGACCTCTAAGGTCCCTTTCAGTTCTAAATCTATGATCTCACAGTTAGTACTAAAAGGAATAAGAAGCAGGAATGCTCTCATGCTCCTGGCTCAGCCCTATCGGTGCCTGGCACGTGGCAAGTATTTGATAAAAATTGGTTGAAGTGAATCACACATACACACACAGACACACAGACACACAGACACACACACACACACACACACACACACACACACACACACACACACACATGAATCACTCCAGCACAAACTGTGCCTGTGTACTGAATTTCAGCCTGGATATTCTGAAACTGCTCATTATGGGCCTTGTGTCATGTGACCCTTGTCAGGCTCCCGTCAGATACCGTGGTGGGTGGCTCCGAGATCTGCCCAGCCAAGCTAAGGGGCACATCCCCTGGTGAATCTGGCCTCTACCTGGAGCAATGAAGATCTCCCCAGCCCCCCTAAACACATCAAACTGAAACCCTCCATGCCCTTTGCTGGATAACCCAGAACATCTGGAGCACCTCAGATGTGCCCGACAATAGCCTTGGACCCATCCGAATGGGTCGCCAATGGCTTAGTCAAGAAGCCACAAAAGGATGGGAATTTCAACCATATGGGCCATGCTGCTTGCAGATCGAGCCTCTTCCTGAGATGCCAACTCACTAGTTTCCATTTTTAGTAATCCGGAAATCCCTCTGATTGGCATTTCTGCTGCATTATTATTCCTGGAAACCGCCAGACACAGGATTTAGAGCTAGAAGGGCCCCTAGACATTATTTAGTCCAGCCCCGCTCCATTTTACAAACAAGGAAACTGATGCCCAGAGGGGTAAGGTCATTTGCTCGAGGTCATAGGCTTGTTAGTGGTAGTGTAGGGATTCCAATCCACATCATTTCACACCATGTACAGAGGGTTCTTTCCACCATCAAAAGCAGCAAAAATGAGTCCCCACCCCCAACCTTCATGCGATATATTCAAGCCATTTCTTGCCAATGGGTGACAGACATTCCGGTGTCTGTTGAATGAAAGGGTGAAAAAGGGGAGACATAATCCAAGAAGTATGAGAGCTAGAAGGGTTGGTATTCTCCCTCACCCACTCTGCAGTACAGCTAAACTGGTTCCCTGGTTGCTCTCCACACACAACAGTCCCTCTCCAGTTTCTGTGCCTCTATCTGGGCTGTGGCCCCTGCCAGGAAGCACTCACTGCTCACCTCTACCTCTTGGAACCCCCAGCTTCCTTTAAGGCTCAACTCATATGCCATCTCCTATACATGGTTCTCTACAATCCACACCCCGGACCTGATCTGTGCTCCCCGAACACTCCGGCCTGAAATTACGTTGTACTTAATTATATGTACACATATGTTAGGGCATCTAGGTGGCATGGTGGATAGAGCACCGGGCCTAGTGTCAGGAAGACTTGAGTTTAAATCCAGCCTCAGACACTTACTAGCTGTGTGACCATGGGCAAGTCACTTCACTCTGTTTGCCTCAGTTTCCTCATCTGTAAAATGAGCTGGAAAAGGAAATGGCAAACCACTTCAAAATCTTTGTCAAGAAAACCCCAAATGGAGTCATGAAGAGTTTGACACGAGTGAAATGACTGAACAAGACATGTTCTTTCTACCAATAGAATAGACTCTCCTTGAGGGCAGGTATTGTTTTCATCTTTGTTTTTGTTATTCCCAATCCCTGGCATAGATTCCAGTGGCTCTGTATTCTCTACTGCTATGGTCATTCTCTCCAGTAATGCAGATTGTAACCCATCCATGCCTGCCCATCCTGTGCCATCCTCATCCATGGTCTCCCACAAATGAGGCACAAGGGATCTGTCCAAGGTCCTAAAGAACTCTCTCAAGTTCTAGTCATCAAGGGATCCTTCATGCAGTCTACTTGTTAATCCTTAACTCACTCCCAAAAGGAGCCGAGCCCATGTCCTTGTTCATTCAAGAGTATGCTTGAGGCAGTATAGACTGATCCAGAGAGCCAACTGTTAAATTTTCACTATAAATATTTACACTTTGAAATCAGCAAAGGCTACAGGTCAGGGCTTGCTTTATCATTTTGATCATTATATTAATTATGCAGATTTAAGAAAATGACAGAGATAATGCAGATTAAATTTAAAAGTGGGTTGTGCATACAGGTTCCCCTCTCCCACCCAGAGAGCTGGTTGTTAAACATATGTCAGCACATTCATTGTTCATTCCCACATTTCTCCTATTTTCACTCCTTTATTTGGATTCTTTCAAGGGCCTTCCTGAGTATAGGCTGCACATCAATCATGCCTGCCCTTT